TTACATACACCACACAGTTATGAATGCGTTTTTGGTGTAATAAACTGATTTAATTCTGTCAAAGCCATGATCTGTTACAAACGTTAAAAGGGTCATTGAAGAATTTGTTAGCATAACAGGTCAAGGCCTGCATCACGATGTCTAATAGGGTAGGCTATTGAACCCAGGCGTTTAATTTATTGGCCCAAAAATAGCTTTGACAGCAGTATCTTTAGAACGAGAAACGTGCGTTAATTAAGGAAGAGCATTTGGCGCTTTAAATTTGTGACAATAAACCAACATAAATGACGTTGCCACCTGTGGGCTTGGCATAGTTATTTTTTTCATCATTCGTCAGCACGCTTGTAAAATTATTGCAACGGGGGGTTTTGCTACTTCTAAATTTTTATTCTAATATTATATAATATTCTAATATATTTTTATTCTAATATATAATTCCTGTTGTTATATTTACTGTTCTGTTTAGTCATTGTAATTTATAATATGTAAAATAAATATTTTTCGTTCACTCCACTTCGCACGCAAGTAATTGTACTGTCTAGTCCCAGTTTTTATTTTATTTTAATAAATAATTATACCTACTCCCTATCACTTAGTTAAGTCTCATTATTCAAGGGGTGGGGCCTGATGACTTGTAATATACGTAAAATACCCACCAACACCAACTCCCACAATATACTTTTGTAATGTACAGACTGCAGCACATCAAGCTACACATTGACGGTACTTCATTCGATGCATTGGAGACGATATTCGAACAAAATTGTATACATGATGGTCTGAAGACTATACCTACTAAGATCTATACTGTTTTATATTTTGCAGTGTGTAATATGAAATGAGAGACACAACCGCACAAACGACAGTACAATTTGTAGTCGTAACATTTAGTTTTTTTTGCTTTTCGTCTTTTTTGTCTTATTTTATGTTTCTTTTGTTTTTTCTGTTCTTTATATCGTTTATTTATTCTTTTGACTTCGTTTTGTTTGTCTGAGTCTTTTCAATATTTTTTTTGTATATATGTAGTGGCGTTGCAATAAATATCTATTTTATTCTACTCTTACAAATATATTTTATTATTATAATTATTCATTCTGCGTGTACGACTACATCAGCGGCAGTATAGTATATGTTACTTTGAATGCGCTACGGTAAGGGTACATGTCAGTAGAGATCACCATCGCGGTGAGGATCGCGGGCGGAGGCTGGATACAACTTGGTTTGATGTATAGGGCTTCTAAAAAGGCAAATTAAGAAAATAGATAAAGAAATCGTACGATTTAGATGTCGACCAAGCCACTCGCGCCCGTGGCGTCGCTTCGTCATAATCGCGCCGTGCGTGGCACTGCGCGCGCCTGGCCGGCCCGCTGCCGCCGCTGACGCCATGGGTTGGCACCGGATCAAATCTTGTAATTTTGTGTTGATGTTTAGGCAGATCATGGCAAAGTTAATTGACTAAAGACTGCTTTACCATGCCAGAAAAAAATGGTTCAAAATGTACGCCTTTGTTTTGAATTATTCTACCTGCTTGTTTCATAAAATTTGTTAGGTATATATTCCATGGGTTACCTTCGTCTCCTTACAAGTAACCTGTGTTCTGTATTGGAACGTATATAATTGTAATATATAATAATAGTTATTGAATAAGTACCAAGATATTATAATATTTGTAATGAAGAAAAATTGGTTAGGTTGTACAATTTCGACTGAAACCGACTATGAAAACAATAACCTATATGAATATGTTAAGTGGCTTTTACGAGGGTTCAATTAATATGATTACCTGTATGGTGGTTTTTCCACTTTCACATAATCTATCGTCGATCTGTTGTGTATTAAAATGCATTAGCGCGTGAATTTTGTGTATGTGTGTGTTGTTTATAAGTAGTTAATTAATTAGTTAATCAATTTAACCTTCAGAAGTTAGCGTTCTTCCCGAACAATGTAATTAAGGATTATAGAAGGTATGGAACCAAACATTGACCTAGAATGGTCGACTCGTATCACGTAGGACCTGGTTCTTCTCTCAGATTATTTAATTCTTAAGAGGATGAAAAACCACCGATATTGTTGAGTTGCCAGCGTGTTAAGACTCAAGATACCTAGTCAAGTGTAGCAATTATCAATAATGTTTCTTTTTAGAGAGGCTATCCAGCTGTGACTTATCGTATCGCGGTGGTACTACATAGTGTAGAATGTACAGGTTGTATAGTTAGCTGAACCAATGGCCGAAATTTGGTCGAAGCCCGACTTTAGTTTTAATGAAAATGTTCGACACACAACGCTCAAGTTATTATGATGTTATTATACTTAACAACATCTTTCCTATATTGAACTAGCTTGCTCCTCCTGTCTTCAGTCAGCGCAGACCTGTTCTCAAAGGCTACGAGGACCAAAAAAGATGAGCTGGACTTGCGGAACAGCGTGTTTGACTTCATTATCGTCGGAGGTGGCACTTCTGGGTGTATTTTGGCCAACAGATTATCTGCTGTGAGCGAGTGGAAGGTACTTTGAGTTAACCTACTAATTAAGTAATAACGAAAAGCTAATGATGGCCACAAATTATAGTAACACTTAATATTACTGGTATAAGAATGTCCTATAGAAAAGTGACGCCACGTCAATGATATCACATTCTTTGTTGTCCATTAATATTTTACTGGCTTATAAGACCGTTTGCAGATCATTATCTTGTTTTTGAACTCTATCGTGACTATAGATAACATAATATTGAAGCATAATTGAGTCTATAACTTATCCTGACAAAAATCTTCACAGGTCCTTCTCTTAGAGGCAGGGGACGACGAAAATATAGACTATGACATCCCAGGTGTGCCAACAAAAGAGTACCGTCCTATCCTATGGAACTACCGCACAGAGAGGAACGGGTACTCGTGTCTCTCACGACCTGGGGGGAACTGTGAGGTTCGCACGGGAAAAGTGCTGGGAGGGTCCAGTGTGACTAATGACATGAAGTACACGAGAGGCAACCAAGTGGACTATGATGCATGGCATAATAATGGAGAGTTGGGATCTCTAGGTTGGAAGTATGGAAACTTATTGGAGTTTTTCAAAACTTCGGAGGATAATGGTAAGATCCCGATTTAGAGCAAAAATTCCACGTATTAGGTAGGGCAGAAAAATCAGAGGTACGTTTTCGAGTGTAAATAGATAACATAAACTTTCTCGAATGTTGACTAATAACGTGTGTAATGAAATGTATGATATTGCATGACAAAGGTTTGAAAATAATGCAAGGAAACGTTTTTATTTGCGAGATTCGTTAGATTGAATTCCTGTGGCATTTCTCATCGAATAAAAGTCAAGCACAGGTTTTGTTTCTAATTTTATACATAGCGAAGCAGCTACGTAAAATAAAGAGCTGGGGTTTTGCCAAACTTTTTTAATCACTGACAAGGAATAATAATAAATATAATTTTCAATGTAGCTCGGTACAGAAATGCAATTTTATAAAAATAATGTTATTTGGTTTCATTTAAGGTCGCTTTAGTGTTGATTACAATATTTTCTACTTTATACGTTTATTTCGTGCCATAACGACTTATCGTATCTTTTTTGTTTAGTGTTATTCGAATGCCTTCATCATGTATTTTATACATTCTCGTATAATTCCAAATTACGCATCATTCCAGGTGATTATGACGTATTAATGAACTCGCACTACCATTCTCGAGGAGGCGAAATGCGAGTGCAAAGATTTAAATACGCTGACCGATACACAGAGGCCTTTGTAGGCGCTTTCGCTGAAATGGGCCTCAGGACCATGGACATCAACGCTAATACCCCCGAAGCTATAGTAAACCATCAATTCGCTCTACAGAACAATACTAGACTGAGCACTAACAACGCTTTCTTAAAACCTGTTAGGCATAGAAAGAATTTATCTGTTTTAACAGGTGTTACTGTGACTAAAATTGTCATAGATAAACAGGAGAAAAATGTCGAAGGAGTAATTTATGAATTTGAGAAAGGAAAAGAGAAACCTGCTTATGCTAAGAGAGAAGTCATTTTAGCTGGTGGTGCTATCAATAATGTTAAACTTCTATTCTTATCTGGTGTAGGTCCTAAGAGTGAATTAAAGAAGTTTAATATTACGACAATAGTGAATGTTCCTGTCGGTCTGAATTATCAAGATCAGGTAACCACGGGAGGTTTGTCATTTGCCCTAAGTGATGTACCGCCTGTAAGTGAGATTAAAGTCATTGACGATTTCAAAACCTGGTTTCAAAGCCGAAATGGCCCTTTAGCCTCCAGAGGTATTCATCAAATATCTGCTTATATACAATTATATGAACAAAATAATGCACCAGATATAGAACTAGCCTTAGAAGGAAATTTCATAAGAAGTGATAAGTTTATGTTAACAAATGTAAGTGTCCATGTTGCTGAAGAAAATAGCTTACCTTTGCCATATTATAATTTAGTCAACGTATACCCTATTTTACTGCGACCTAAAAGTAGAGGAAAGGTAACATTGAATAAGCGAAATCCTAAATATGGTAGACCAGTCATTCAAGCAAATCTGTTGAAAGAAGCCGAGGATTTGGAAACGCTAGTCGACGGCATAGATATCGCACTTCAACTTCTTGATAAAAAAGAAATTAGGAAGGCTGAGATTAAATTCGCTCCCTTAGATTTATTCCCTTGTGATAGATTAAGGAATAGGGATCAATGGAACTGTATAGCGAGACATTATACTAAAGCTATGAATAATCCTATAGGAACATGTCGCATGGGTGAAAATGCAACAAATTCTGTTGTCGATTTTCAACTAAGAGTACACGGCGTAGAGGGTTTAAGAATTGTTGATGGGTCGGTGATGCCTACTCTAGTCAGAGGAGGTATATTTGCCCCCATAATGATGATTGCCGAAAAAGGCGCAAAGATGATATTAACAGATTGGAAAGAGAACTCGTTCCGGTACCACAGACGATAGTATTACATCTAAATTAAAACTTGTATTTAAAAATAAAGTTTATTTAATACCAAATTGTTTTTATTGCGTCGCTAGCTTTTTCAGCTATCATTATGACAGGAGCCGCTGTTGGTCCTCGTGTTATTTTGGGCATGATGGACGCATCCGCTACTCTAATATTATTTGTTCCGAAAACTTTTAGATTGCTGTCTACGACAGCTTCAGGGTCTTTAGGAGATCCCATTTTGCACGTTCCAACGTAATTGTGTAAAGGGCTGGAGAAGGACCTGATAATACAGGACCAAAACTCTTCGGTGACTCTTTCATAATGCCTGCATTCATTTCTCAACAGCGGACGAGGGTCAAATTCCACACCGGCAGACTTGAAAACTTCTGTATCAAAAATTTTTACGACATTTTGAATACCTTCCAATAATTTCTTCTCATCAGAGGGATGTCTTAGGTAATTGGGATATATTAAAGGCTTCCCAAAAACAGGATTTGTTGCGTTTAACACGACCTGTCCGCGACTTTTCGGTGTCAACAGCGACACACAAACGTCAACTCTATCATAGTACATATTAGAATCATGTCCTTTGAATCTTATTTCTATGTCTGGCGTACCAATAATATCAGAGATGGTACTTTCAAGGAACGCAACAACTTGGAAGTTTGCCGATAAAGGACCGATACCTTTAGTGTAGTAAGTAGTTATATCTTTCATTTTCTCCGTGAATTTCGACAAAGTTGATGTATTTGTTAGCTTGATCACTGGTAAACACACTGACAGATGATCTTGGAAATTACTACCGACAGGTAAATCTAGGAGTGTTTTGATTTCTAAATATTCTAAGTAGTCCTTGGGCCCAATACCTGATGACATAAGCAATCTAGGCGTGTTAATAGCTCCAGCACTAATTACTATCTCCTTGGTGGCTACTGCCTTCACAAGAGTACCATTGGTAATAATATTTACCCCATATCCTTTTAAGCCCATGTTCACTTTATCTTCTGCAAATAAAATTTTAGTAACTAAAGATTCAGTCATGATATCCAAATTGTTTCTCATCTTCCTTATAGGTTCTAAAAAAGCCGTATACGTACTGACTCTTTCTCCAAAATACGACATTGTCTGTATTCTCATGAATCCTAGTTGATTTCTGCCATTCACATCTGTGTAATTGTAGCCAAGTTCGTTAAAAGCGCTGAGTAAGACGTCTACATTCACATCAACGTAGGGATATCTTCCAATATCCAACGGTCCTTGCGTGGAATGAAAAAACTTATTTTTAGAAACGTCTTTGTCATAATTTCCTTCAGAGTACTTGAAGTAAGGTAAAACTTTATTAAAGGCCCAGCCGTCACAACCACTTAGTTCCCATTCGTCGTAGTCTGCAGGGCTACCTCTTATATACGCCATGTCGTTGATGGAGGAGGTTCCACCAAGAACACGTCCTTGGACCACCTCGCAGCCTTTATCTTGGCGATTCTGACAAAATCTGAAAAGTGATGAAACTATACGATTAATGAAACTACAGTTGCTTGGTGAAGGTCCGCCGAAAAATTTTCATTTGTATTTTTAACTATGCTGCCATGCTGCTATAATACTTCTATTATTTCTACTATTTGTTACTAAGCTATTCAGACACGATCTTTCATGTTTAAATATTCATCGTAAGAAATCTTAAACATATTTCTCTATTTTGTACTGAAGCGTGTAACTAACATTATATATTTCGCTTACCATTTATTTGCATAAGAGAGGTTTAGTCGTGATTCTTCAATAAAGCCTTGTGTGGTGCTTATTGCTTAATCTTGTTTGTCAGTCATATACTTATATATTTATGTATACAATACCGTATTTACACATATGATATTAAATATTTTACACATATTACAATCTACAAATTCTAGTCTCGAATCAGAATTTATGAAGGTTGGAAGTATTTTGGTTTTTAATTAGTGAGAGTGAGAGAGCAAGTATTCCCTGAAACTAGCGCAGGCACCAATAAATATTTAAGCTTTCTAATTTTGATATATGTCAAAGATGTGATGGGTCCTCTAAGCAAAATTTTTCGACGGACCTGTGTACCCAGCCGGGAAAAGCCTAACCCACCCCTTTTTAGGTCGCATGCTGAACTGCCAGTCGAGGGGGGACCCTCGGAATTCGCTCGTCAATCCAGGAATGAGGGACATCCTCGGCTCTTCGGGACCTGCTTCCACTAGCAGCACCTGAAACATGTCCGATAATACAGGTGTAGTAGAATTGACACAATAGTAATGTCAACGAGGGTGCCAAGACAAAACTGTTTGTGAATGTAACCGTTCAGTAAACAAAGAGATAAACATCTTACTATCGAGATGAAAAATTCCTATGGAAACAGCGACGCATACTTATACAGCTTATCGCGAAATCCTGACCAATCTGCACGTGTACACATTAAAAGATTGGATGTATCACACTCATATAGGTTGAACAGTACGTCAAGCTTGAGATTTAAATTAAACTCTATGACGCTTGTGATAAGAACGTTCAATGTCCAAAGTTTAAAACATAACAATATCGTATCATAAGATGTAAGATCAAAGTATATGTAGCACGTCAAGATATTTTAAAGGATGTATCTAAAAAGAAAGAACGAGAATCTGTTAGTCTTGAATTTCACCACAACGAAGCATGACAATGGCTGTAAAAAAGTATCTTACCTTCCAATTCTGATTTTCCGACAACCGACTAGCAATGACACATCCAGCCGTACCTCCACCGACCACAATAAAGTCGTAATGCTTCGACTCCTTCCACATCTCCTCTGGACCGTCTCTGTACCCCTGGTCTCCTCGATAGGACTTGTACTTTCGCGTAACATCTTCCCTCATCATCAACTCTTCTTTGTTTTGGCCAAAATAATCAGGCTCAGGACCAACATGTCCATATAAAGTGTGAACTAGAGATATAAGAAGTATTGCGGTCGGTGCACATTCGATTCGTCCATCACAAATCCTGCATAGATCGTCTGTGATGTTACTAGCTGACATTGCATCTTTTTGACGGACTTTAGCAGTTTGATCTTGAAGAAATTTTCGTACGTTGGTCACGTTTCTGGGGTCCCATTGATGAGTTGTTTTGACAATTCTATTTACACATTAAACTGAAGGTGTAGATTATATGTTTTTAGCATCTATTATTCAGACTTTAGTTATTTATTGTTTGTTTATCAAAATACGTCGTCACACACTGCACCGAAACATATTCAGCACTTCCATAGTTTCTTTTTATTTTCTTGTCACCACAATTAACTGAAGTTATAACTTTCTACGAAATATCAAATAAATATTAATATCAATATTATAATAATATTAATATATTAAAATATTTACGTTAAGTTATTAATTGATATTGAATGTAGTTAATAATTGCGTAAAAGAATGCGTATTGTATCAGTTTTTGAGTTCAACTGAAGCGAGTCTTCTACAAAAACGTTCGAAACTGCGGGAAGGTATTGTTGACATAATTTGTTTTCAGACCGCCATTGTTCGCTTCCAAGAGGCGCTGTTTTAGTAAGTAGATTAAATGTTATGATTTTTTTTACCATAATCACGTTAAACGCAGAAGTTTTGAGAAGTTCATGTATGTAATTGGATAGCCGAAACATTCAATGATTTGAAAACTCACGTCGACCTGGGGACAACAACATTAACTTAAATATTATATAGTTTTATGTTGGCATACATTATTCGAAATTTACCTTAGTATTTTATTATGTTGTAAAACTAAGACACATCAAGTAAACGTGGGTGTTTGTCTATACATAATAGCCAATTAAGTATCTTTTTATTTAACTGTAACTAATCTGAAACTTTTGTAACGCTTTAAAGTTTCCGAACTCAAATACGATAAAAAGTATGTCTGTGCGTCATGGCTGTTTTTTATCAGAAAGTATCATTAGTTAATTTTGCAGAGTTGCAAAACGTGGTAGTCCACGTCTATTCTAGATGATAATTGTATGATTTGCATGACAGAAAATTTATAACGTCTGTCTACAGATTCTGCGTTTCTTAAACACTGCAATTGAATTTCTCGATGGAGCTTTAAGAGCATGGTAATAGGGTAAAACCGGGGTAGATGGCCATAACTTTTTCTAAACGCTGTCAAAATCAAATCTTAGATATTACATTGCAAATCTTTATTTGTTATTAAACTTTGAACAATTACCTATTAATTATTTAACAGTAAAAGAAACAAATTGTCTTGTCAACCTCAAAATTAATTTAAAGAAAATTACGATTGGCCAATCTCTTCCAAGGTCCGGGTGTGATGACCATAGGACTACGGGTAAGATGGCCAGTAATTATTTCTAGACTTAGATAGGTCTTTTATTTGGTATTTTGTTTTCTAAGTCTTCTTTTTTCTTCGTGTCGTCAAATTCTCAGTTTTCGTGAACCCAGAAGTGGCACACGACGCATTGCAGCCAGTCTTCGACGAGGGGGTTTCATAGTACCAACAGCTTTAATAGCTATCGAGTTCTTAGGTTTTCGCGATTGTTAAACTTATGAAATGAAACTATTCTTCCGGATTTAAATCGCGTTTTTCAAACAAACCAAAGTTTCGGGCCCTTTACAAGTATTGAGACATTTCCTTAGCATTAATAGCTGCTTTTAATTCTTCTTCACTGCAATTTCCTCTCACTGCTGCTACCTTTCTTTCGTATTTAGTACGCATCTAAAACAAGTTCGCAAATAAACAAATGTAATGTTTGAGACCTGTGGATGATTGGTATAACTTAGTCATATGGCCATCTTACACCAATTTTTATTGGCCATCTGTCCTAATATTCCGGGAGAAGTGGCCACACATAAAATTTAAACAAGAAAAAACACGACACGTGAAATTTAGAGTTTATAACAAAGCATTGGATGTGTACTAAGCGATAAATACAAAAATAATCCATATTTATAAAAAAATAACTTCATTGTAGTGTAAAATACAAACCCTCTAAAAATTTTTGCATTTGTCAAAACAATTAACAAGGTTTTTCTTACTTTTCTTTTTTTGCTCAGAATATTCGACTTACACTTGCACTTAGACATCACACGATGCGACCTGAGCAATAACTATCGCCATCCAGTTAGCGGATCATTGAAATATTGCGATTCGTCATCTACCCCCTATGGCCATCCACCGCGGTTTTACCCTACCGATTTATACAAAATAATTAATAAAGTTTAATGATAAATTTACCAAAAGTTCAAATAATTTTTACGGATATTTGGAAAGTACGATTTCTTAAGTTTAGATGCCATTCACCTGCTACAAATATTTATGGATTTAACATTTAATTAAGACTTAATAAACGAAAATCTCATACAGGTACTTTTGAAAAAGCTCTCAAAAAATAGATTTGAGGCCAAATGTAAACGAGTTCAATATTGTGCGAGGAATGATGCATCCTAAAATTTGTTGTAAATGTGATCTTAAATTTTAATATAAAAACCACGATTGGTATCCTTGTGTATTACGTCGATGCTATTATTAAGAATTATATTTATATCACTTGTATGATTGCAAAGTCCAAAATTTGTTAAGTTTGCCACAGATTTGCCCATGGCAGTATGATCGAGTTCCACTCGCACTTGACCGGTTTTTTAAACTCGTTAAATAGCCTGTTTCGTGAGTTTAATGATGAGTAACAATACATTTCCTTAATTTCAGGTAACCGTTGGATATTTCGATTAACCTACACATCAATACAATAAGATTGCAGTTACGAAGAAAAGTAAGTACGTACATAACAAACTTATGTAGCAACTAAAGACGTCCTTACTGTTTTATAAATAGTAACATTAAGACTGTTATGTACTTACGTCACAGCACATGATCTAGGAAAACCTTTTTGTAAACTACAGTGTAGTACATACATACGTAATGGGGAGTCATACCAGGGTATTTTTACAGAATTTAATTTAAAGTTTTAAACGCCTTATAAAATTATAATAGCAATCACGCAGCCCGCTCAAATATTACAAAGCAGCCGTTAATAAACTAACAGGCGCTTAGCAATAAGCAGTAAATCTGAAGTTTATACGTCTTATGAGCTAAGTTGAATTATAAATTCATATGAGGCGTTGATTTTATGACATCCACAGACTTCAACGGGTGTAATAAAACGCAAGTTTACGGGAGTGGTTATAGGTCCCTAAAGCGGCATTATTATTCATAAGTGACATTGTAGTGTTCTATGGAGATTGGAAAAAAGTATACACTCTACCCATTATTTTAACTGAAGCTTAATTATTTACTTACATTTTAAATTAGCACGCATTTCCTAACTAACAGATATGAATACTTCCTTATACCTACTTACGTATGAATATGCGGAAAACATGTTTGTGTTTTTGTAATATTAGCAAGATGTATACGAACATACAATAATAAATAAATAATAACGCACACACTCAACATAGCCCCGCACTTGGGAAAGCCTGTGTAGTGAGTGCCATGGACACACACATAGACAACCACAAATTACACCCAAACTCACGAGTTAAATAAATGTCGGCGATACAAATATTTCTCCCGGCCCGGAAATCGAGCCCGGGGACCTCTGCGTGGCAGTCCGGTATGTTAACTGTTCGGCCACAGAGGCAGTTATAATTATTCCATCCTGAAACAATTCCATCGATAACAAAGTTTCAAATTTGTTTCAAAATGTGTTTGAAATTTCAAATGCCGTAACATATCGTTATCTAAAAAAGGTTACAAAAAATATCGATGTTTTCATTTTCAAGGCTTTCTACTGGAACCTTACCTCATGCCATGTCATTATATTATGAATCGATATCGGTATTTATTATTTATAATACTTTCACTTTATTCGAGACTTATTTGTTTATGATTTCTATGAATAGTATTTCCATAATGAATGTATTGGATAGCTATGTCAGACACTTGCCATACGTGGCACAAAAATATCATCATTTGAATAGCTCACCTAATCATTTATTTCTTTAGAAAAATGTTGTATGTATCCGTTGAAGGAGGCCCGTACCGAACATCGGGACGTATACCTATTGGTTGATATAGTCTGTATGTATAAGTACCTATTTAAAATCATCAATCATCAAAGTTAAAGTGGGTACAATAGAATAGCGTATTAAATGTACACCAAAGATTTTTTTTAAAAAGCAATAATAACGTTCATTAGGTAATGAAACTATTTTTCGGATCTAAATCGCGTATATTTGTTTTTACAAACACACCAACGTTTCCAGGTTCCATCCTCACGGCTGACTGAAAGGTTTTTTTTAAATTAGTTTCATTTCCTAAGTGCAACAAACGCGAAAACCTAAAAACTGAATAAAAATGTTTCTTGTTTAATTACCCGCAGGCTCGCCACAAATAAAGGCGAAGTCATACCAAACAATTCTGTCACAGATCGATGGCGGAAAGTTTTCGTCGGAGCCATTACCTGATTGCCGGTTAATTTAAAAGTCGTCAAACACACGAAGGGCGAGACCGTGAAACGGAACGTATTGCGTTACAGAGGGCTGAACGAGTTGGATGGGTAAAGAATTAATTATATAAGCCAGAGTGACTTGCAGAAATATTTAAACGATTTGTAGACTATGAATTACGGCAGTGCTAGTCTGCAACATTGTAAAAGATAGTATATCTTAGTAAGTAATCTCGGGTACAGATTACATCGAGAATTGTACTTAAAAAGTTAGAGTGGGTTGTGGGACGCATAGGAGGGCTTGAATGAAAATATTGGTGGAGATAATGATGTAGGTACGTAAGTGAAGAAGAGGTTTGCTAGGATCGCACAAATAGATTTTTCCTACCCCAATGGGGATTCAAACGAGTGAAAGAAAGTGAGTGACGGGATGAACAAGTCGTGGGCTGGTGGTACGCGACACTCGTGTCCATGACAGTTACAGTGCCACTCAGGGTTTTGGATCACAAAGATCTGACACTGCCACTGCGACCGTGACATACACTGAGACAGAAGTCGACAAATCGCATGTGCCTGTCATTTTACCAGCACAATTAAGTTATAGAACGTCAGAATGTTTCGCCATCATGACACTGAATTATTTTTTGTGAAATTATTGTTATAATTATTAATGCAAAGTTCGAATACTTAGAAAAAATCCTTCGATACCGCTTTACCGATTGTTATAATAGTTTGTGGCTTCCAATATATTCATAAGTAAGTTCCCAACCCTTTATGGACTTGTACAATTTTTAG